CCCCCCCCCCCCCCCTTCCTGGCCACCACCGCTACTCCTCGCGTTCCGCTTCTTCAGTCGTCTTCAACATTCACACTTTGTCAGAATAGTTTACAGACTGTAAAATTATGTCTATTAAGTGAGGGGACCCGCCACACTTATCCCCTGAGTGTGATTAGCATCTAATTTCTCCTTACAATATCATCCCCGAATCACTCATTCAGGACACGAAAACAAAGGAAATGCTCACCAACTAAAGAAGCTCTTGATTGCTAAACAAATTCTCCTTATCTGCACTTTAGGAATTATTTGGACAACAGTGTGGAGATAATTCATATTATTGTTAAGGTGTAAGGGGTTATATTAACTAATTATCTTTTGCCTTTATCTCAACTATCAGTTAAGCCGCTTCTTTTTACTGAATTACTACTGGAGTTACTAAGTTCTATCTAGCCGCATGTCATGAAAAAAACCTACTGGAAAAATAGAGACTGTATACGCGTCAAGACCTAAAATATTAGGCTGGATTACATGGAATTGTAACTCTGTCGTGAGGAGGTCATCTGAGAACAAGTGATCTTAGCAACAACAAAGGAAAACCCATCCTGAAAAAGAAAGTACTGATTAAAAAACATTTTCTTTTCGAGCTAAAGTGCGGGGCAACACAAAACAGAACGATGATGGGAGGTTCACGTACAGAAAAATAGATTGCGAGTGAGAGGGTGGTATGTCCTCTAAATGAAAATATTAAAGGATTAAACAGAAGCAAGAGCATTAGGAGCAGTATGCATGGTCAGAGAAACTGAGAGATTCTTTTATAAAGTTAGAATCATCACTTCCTTCCGTGAGCCAATGACTTGAACTGCAGAGGCTAATCAATATCATATCCAATAAACATACCCCTAGACCAAACAACAAAACCAGTCCAATAGAGCGAGAATCGACGGCCCACGGCCATATTAAAAAAAAAAAAAAAAAAAGAATCGGAGAAATAGTGGCGTGGGTCTTCCCTAACAAAGCAGGCCATTCTCTTTTTCTTCCTGTTATTTTCATGGTTTCATAATTCCTTGACCATAAAAGTAAACATCACACACACGAGCACACCCAATCAAAAACGTGGGCGCGCACGTTCATGCATGCACGTGCACGCACCCACGCTCACGCGCACACACAAGCAGCTTTTGGGAACCATTAGATACATTCTATGGCTTATAGTAGACTACACACCGCCCAAGTCAGTTTGATTATGCCACAGGACCTAGCGAATGAAACCCAATTGTACTCTACACGATGAACTGTAGAGTGAACATTTTTAACGTCTTAACTTATGCTGATGTAGGGAATTTCCCTAGATCCAAAAATTAACTTCCCAAACAAAATATATCCCATTTAAAAAACAAAGTTGCTAAAGTTTATCATCATCAGCCTCAGAAATGAAAACTTTGCATGAGAATCATGTGTCAGTTTGGATCCTTTCTATCTAAACTCTCTCAAAATATCCATGTGCTGATCAACTTCTGTTTATCTTCCCCTTGTATAGGAAAGGAAAACTTGAATATAGAAAAATTTGAATCTATTTTTCTTCATTGTTTTTATCTCCTGCTTGATTGCAAAATTGTCATTCTCACACAAGATTTCAGCCATCTTGAGCCACAAACATTAATTCCCCAGAACAGAAAAAAAATTGTCAATAGACTCCCAAAGAATTTCCACACCACACTGTATTCTTCACAATCTTCTTCATATCAGTGAATAAAACAGCTCACTTACTGCTATTAATCCTGGTAGATCTGACCAAAATTTGGAGTTCGGGATCATTTCCTTTCCTGTTTTCCCTGCTCCTTTATTTACCAGCACTCCCACCACACAATACAAAAATACTCCAGGAAAGAATCTAATTTCGAAAAGAAAATGTAATTTAATGATTAATTTTTTAAACTAATACATTAATTTTCATTTGGTGTAGAAATATGCAGGTTTATTTGTCATTTGACATTATCTGTTCCTTGTAGCTCACAGTTTTCTTCCAACTTCACTCTCAGTTTTCTATTTTCTTCTTGGAACAGATGATGTCTACTGAAAAATCTGCAAGCATATTTTTGCACCAAATGGAGGCTATTGTTTATATAATTTCACACTACCCTAGACTCTCTGCCTGTGGACACCTCGTTAGGAATGACACCATGCCATTGCAGACAAGACCCAGCCCCCCAGCGAAAGGCATAAAGAAATGACTGAAATGAACTCCTGTTATTACAGAATCTTGCTATTACAGAAATGTGGACACTTTTGTGCTCTCCAGCACAACATTTCACTTGCTTTTTCCTCCCACTATAACAGACACTTACTCACATAATTTAAAGTGACATTACAATAATTCCTTATTGCAGACAGATCTTTTTCCAGTTCATGAGGCCACATTAGAGATTCAAGTCTGCATAGCTAGTATACATATTATTTTATATGTTTAGAGACAAAACCAATTTCTTTTCTCTTGTACCCCACTACTATGGACACTAAATCTCCTCTGAGGATGTCCTGAAAAACAGGATTTGATTCAAAAACAGGGACAATTCTCAAACATAATAACTGACTACTTACAAAATAAGCATTATTGATCCAACACTCAGAGGTTTTGAAGGTTCGTCATCTTTTCCTCCTCCTCCACCTCCTTTTGAACAAGCCCCACTATACTCAAACTCTACCTTAACCATGACTACCCCAATCTATTACAAAAAGGAAAAACAGCCAGACATGTTATAAGAATGCTCTAAAAACCCTACGATTTTATCTTTATCATTTCAGTGTGTAATTATGAAATTGTAATAATCATCATGTTTTGAAAAAATTTGACCTCATTTGCAGTTATTTGAGTCTAATGTTTTGGTAACCTAGAAGCCACCTTATTAAACCTTAAACTCCCACAGAAGTGATTAACAAGTAACTTCTCCTTATAATATCCAACAGTATCAAGCAAATAGGTAAAGAGAATATTCAAAATTATCAGGTAGAAGTTGTTATCATGATCTAACACAAAATTCTGGTTACTTAAATGTAAAAGGAAATGTGTAGCAGCTAGAGTAGAGAATTAAAGCCAATCCTGAGGAGTTTAAAACTTCTTAGGATTGGACAGCTAAAGCTGATCTTAGGTGCACAAATATATTAAGCTTGCATAGATTCAAATTTTAAGTATGTGATTGTATCATGGTCACTATGGGAGACCAGAATGAATTACAAATTTCATGATTTTTTCATGATGATGATGATACAATTTTCCTACAGCACTCACTGACTCAAAAAGCATTTTATATAAAAGCTGTAGCATTTACCCACTATACCTGTGTACTTGAGACAGTAACTTTGGGAGGATATGTGACACTGTTATTGCCACTTTCACCATCAGATCTTTTCCATACGGCACTTTTGTTACAATGGAATGTGATTTCAGTTTGGAAGGAGGAAAGTGTTGAGGCATTGGTTAGCTCTCCTGGTTCATAAATTAGGGTGAAGTAATCCCGTTCTAAAAGTAAATTTAAAAAATCATTTTCTGGAAGACAGTTTTCCTTCACTCTTTGAACCCCAAGAGTAATAATTATTAGCAATCTAATTTCTCATGAAATTTCACCCCCAAATCACACATTAATGTTAGGAGAATAAAGGAAATGATCACCCACTTAAGAGGCTTGGGATAATTTAAAAATTTTCCTTGTCAGCACCTAAGGAAATGTACAAAGTACAGTATACATGCTGATGTTAGGGTGACCAGGTTAAACAGAAGCAGATTAATTCATCAACAAAATAAGAAAGGTACTTAACTGATTAATCAAACACCAACTTTCATTTATTATTTGTACCAATAAAGCTAAAGGAAATTGAAACATTCTCTAAGTTGTCTTAATTCATATACAGTATTGTGCAAAAGAAATCAAATGAAAATTGCCGAATTTTGTTAATTGCTCTTTTCAAATTTCATCAAACTTTGGTGCAAAAGTTCAAGGGAAGATTCTCACCAAAAAGCAATATTTCTTTGAATTTTCATTACCAAATAAAAGTTCACAACGAAAAGCTTGGGAAAGAAAAAACAATTCTCCACAACATGCTCAATCTACCTGTCACAAAACAAAAAGATTAAAGCCTCTTGGTACAAGAGATTTCAAATGCTCGTGTAAACTGTGTTCATTGCACAATACTGTAGCACAGCCATGAATTATACATAACAAGCCCACCACATCACCAAGGAAGCCCAGTTAAAACTACTTCAGACTCCAAAGTACAAGACTCTTACACATGCAGTACATCCTGAGACAAGCAATTAAACACTCATTTATCTTTAAATCCACGATGAACACTCATTTATCTTTAAAACCATCAATAATAATAATAATAATAATAATAATAATAATAATTTATAGACTTATATTGTGTAATTATCAATATAAGAATTTTCAATTGCGCATTACTGACAATTAAATGTTAAAAATTCAACCCCTACATAGATACTAAAAACTAAAAATTAAAAAATAAAAAAAATACAAAAAAATAAAAAATAGATAAATAAATAAAAAATGATCACTAAGAAAATGTAAAATATGAAATTAGATACAAAGAAATAACTACAATGTCTATCAAAAAACACAATTTCCACTGGTTACGGAGTTGAATAAAAATAATAAAATTCAAACTTACCTGAATCAAAGTTAACTTTTTTGTTTGGGTCAAAGCCACCAGTTTTTTTTGGCATAGTATAAAGGGCCTTGTTATCGTAGTCATGCCCCCAGAAAGAGACCTTGTTGGTCAAACAAATTCCACAATTTTCAGTGCAGAGACTAGGAACTGGATGGCAAAGGGAAAAATAGAAAACACAGGTGGAGGTGACATTTCCCCCAGAAATTGGTGGTTTGAAAGGTATGCATCCTTTCTCTACATGAGGCACCTCAAATGTCCAAAAGTTTTGACTGGAAATTAGATAAAAATGCATATCATCACATACAATCATGCAATAAAATCAATATTCTAACTGTTAATGACAAAGCCTTCTAAATTCATCTTCAAGCTCTTTGGCAATTAACCCATTTGACCCCTTAGAGTGACTAACATCTAGTTTCTCCTTACGATTACATCCCTGAATCACCCACTGAGGTCTGGAGAATAAAGAAAATGATCACCCACTGAAGAGTCTCCTTGTTGGCACTTCAGGAAATGTAAAGAGAACAGTATGAAGAACATGCATACTGATGTTAGGGTGTAAGGGGTTAGTAAGTTCTTTGCTTGGGTAAGTGGTGGACCAATATCTCTAAATTCAGCTTATAGCACAGTGCATAATGCTTGTCCAGTTTTTCTACTACGGTAAAAACAAATTGACCGAAAGAGAAAGAGATAATCGTGGATAAGAACATTATATATGCAAATATAGACAGGAGATGGAACAGTTTGCTTGCGGGTGAAATTAAACAGAATATAAGATCAGTGTAGTATTTGTGTACTGCATGATCTTGCATTACGAAGTAGGTTGGCCAATAACATAACCCAGATAATTATGTGTTCAAATATAAAAACTGGATCGATAATACCTTGCAATTATACTAAAGACACGTAAACTTTGACGCTTAAGATTCTGTGTGTTTTAAAAACCGCACTATATATGATTAAGTTCTTCGTTATTGTGTACATTGCCAGTACTGTACGTACACTCGTATAATATAGGACGCCCTCAAGCATTTGATCAATAGGATAACCTCAATCGATTTTCCACTTACTCTTTCAGAATATTGATGTCCTTGTCGATTGGAGCGCATGTCTCTGAAGAAACTTGTTGTGTCGCAAAGAAAATAAGCACGAGGCAACCTATAACTAAGTGACTGCTTCCGCACGCCATTTTGCTTGTAGTGAAAAGGCAAGTGGAATCCAGGCTTCTTCCTGAGCGCAGCAAAAGCATCCTGCTGGAGTACTTGAGAGGACCAATTTTACTCCCATTGTTCGAATGGACTAATTTAATCTTGCTTGCTATGATTCACAGACTAACTTGTTTTTAGTGTTTATGGATAATTTTTTTTAACATATCTCAGTAATTTAACTAAGGAGGCTAAAAGTTAACAAAGCTCTGAAAATAAGGTCTTCTCAGTGATAAATTAAGGACCCCTCAAAGGAAACGGTAATTTGTTCTCTAATGGATTTCTCTAACTGTAAACTATGCATATTGGCGGGTTCTTGTGTATTATGCTAGAGTCTTTTGGATATAGAACAGATCTCCCCACAGTCCCTGTTTCAGTTGGCTAAATAACTTACATAAAATTAAATTTGTTTTTATTTTACTATCAAAGAGAAAATTCCATACATAATTTCACCATTGAAAAGAATGGATTTTTAATAATGTGCGTAATTTCGTGGAGAGAGAAAGAGCAGCAAAAAAAGAAAAACTAGGTGGATGGGGAGGGGAGTTTATCCCAATATTCAGACATCTATGCATATCAACTTTCCAGCGATTGTGTAACCTTCAAGCAGACCCATTTTCTTACAAAACCCACTTGCCTGTGTTACCCGGGAGTTCTACTCATGGATTCAGAATTTATCTCCTGGTGTT